ATATTCTGACCTTCTGTGTTCGTCCATCGTACCGTCGTCCGTCTTGTAGAATCACGGTCGTGCTACCTAACTGAATTTAATTTTGTAACATATTCGATTTTCCCACGGGAATGATATGTTTTTCCACTGAAAAAAGTAGCCTATGTCACTCTACAGCCACCGAACTATCCCCATACAAAAAATCATGCCATGCCGACGCTCTGCGAAAAGACCTGTGCACCGATTTTCCCACGGGAAAATTTTTTCGCGGAAAAAGTAGGCTACTACAGCAAACTACCGCCATCCGTTTTAAACAAACTTGTGCAAATATTCATTTTCCCACGGAGGATTTTTTCCGCTGAAAAAAGTAATCTATGTCACTCACGCCACAACTATCCCCATACATTCATGCCATGCGGACGCTCTGTTGCGACAAAGAAGGACAAACAAACAAACAAACACACTTTCGCATTTATAATATTAATAGTATGGATTCCAAAGAAATGGTACCATCTTCTATAATTTAATTGTAGGATGTTTCTTTCTTCAATAGACCCGCGAATCGTTCTTCGTAGGTATGGATGTTATTTTGCAAAGATTTTTGCTCTATCAAATCTTGTATAACGGCAGGTGCCGTCTTGAAGATGGTCAAATATGTGAATGTCATTCGAAAGTCCAAAATATTTTTTTCTTCTGTGAATCAGAATTGACTAACGAACTTACATAAAAGTGGCTACTGCAGTCTATAAAGTTACAGCCCATTACGTCCCACTACTGAGCACAGGCCTCCACTCAAATCTGAGAGGGTTTTTTTAGGGCAAGGAAGTGTCCGCCGCGCTGCCCCAATGCGTGTTCACGAACTTCACTGTCTCCGATAAATATTTTTTTCTTATTTCTCAGGCATGCTTGTGCATGTTTCCTCACGATGTTTGCCTTCACCGCCTAGCACGTGGTAAATCAGCACTTAAAATTGCAATTAACAACTTCATTGATGCCGGCGGGAATCGAACCCGATTTGCTCGCGTACTGTGTAATTTACAGCGAGCACTAACCATCTGAGCTACCACGGCTGCAGTCCATGGACACCTATAATCAATTTTAAACGAAAAAGGCAACGGATGCGCTGTCACCTTTTAAGAATAAAATGGAATGTCTCACTGCCTGTAATTGTACTGGCTCTTCATCCCCTTCAGAAATAAGTAAGAATATGGAGAGTACCGACCCAGATGAAGTCCTGGGCAGAGAACGAAACCTACCAGCTGGTAACCTAAAAATAATCCATAGTTAAGAGGATATCTTGAAAATGAATCGTACGTCTATAATCTATTTGGGAGCGTGGCTTATTCCTTTGTCGGTGAAGCTCACGGACTGAGGGAGTGTAAAAATGAAAGTGATGCAATGACTTCATAATACGAAAATTTGACGTAGCTATACCGAGCACACGCTCGGGAAAAAACCAAGTAAGCCCCAAACAACATTTTTATTTTTAACAAAACTTCGTTACGGATTAAAAAAATGGTTTACGAGAATTTAGATATCATTATTTACTGCGCCTTAAAAATAATTCCATGAACTTATCCGTAAAATTTTGTGGTGTCATGGAGAAATGTAACTAATTAGAGCCCACTTTTCAATTTATTTTCTATAGAGAAAATTACATGATATCGTATTTTCCTTTATGCAACCCAAGTTCATATGGTCAAAAACCGTATACCAACATTTTGATTTATAATCTCTAAAACTTAATAAAATATGTGAAATAGAAATACCACCAAATTTTAGAGGTATCACCAAAACGCATAAAAATCCTTAAGTTATCCTTAAGTTAGTTAGTAGTTTCATTCAACGTACCTACTGTATTATGATATTATATGTCAAGTATGAGATTTTGAGCTGATTTTCCAAACAACAGATAAAAGTTACTCATTGAATAAAGTACAAGATAAAAATAATATTAAGTTATATTAATTTGGTCCATTGTTCCACTTTTATATTCAGTCAGGTTATAATTAAATTGATGGATCACTTTTAACTGATGACTGTCAACAATCCAAAAAATAATTAACTACTGAGCTGAGTGAATATTCCTTTATGCTTAAGTTTATTAGGTATGCGTCCCTCTACATATTATATTGTTTTAGCTTGATAAACTTAATTTCTAGCAATGCAGTAATTTACTATCGAAACATTTGTAGTCTTTTATATTTATTTTAATAGTTTACCTCTCTTATAATTTCAAAATCCGTTTTCATAAACCACATAGCAAATACCGTTAAAAAACACTTTGGCGATTATCATATAAACCTAGACCACTATCTTGATCCCTAATACGTATTATAAAGAAAGCTAACATCATTATCAGCGCCTGAACCTATTTTCCAGAGTTGAAATAGTTTACTATAATCGCCAGCATATTAGAATAATTGGCACTCATAGTACCAACGCTTCGCAGTTAGAAGACAGTCAGCTTAGAGGTTGTTATTCCATCATCTGTACTGGCTCCTTTAAAACGAGATGAGGTGGTCTATACATAATGTTTATAATGAGAAGATTGTATCCATGTTTTATAGCATTACAGTGACCAAATGAGTTTACAATTTATCTCATAGTAAGTTGCTACTGAAGTTCGACAGCCAACTTCGAACAAAATCTTATGTAGGCTATGTTAACTCTGAGACTAAAATAAATAATAATACTTTACAGAATGTAATTATATACCTAAGCTACTCGCACTCGACACTACATGGTAGAGTCACGCTGCAGCTTTATTACAGTTATAGCAAGAATGGGTCGGCTCAACCGGGGAAGGACCACACTCTTACCGAATAGTAGCTTAAAATAGCAGCCTAATACTGCTGTGTTTCATATGTTGAGTGTAGAGATCCGGAGACCCATTTTTACTAGAAACAAGGCATTGCATCTTAGTCCTCAGGGGTGAAAACGCATCCAATCAAAACACGGATGCGTTTTCACCCCTAATCGGAGATAAATGTAGATGTCTATGGGCCACAGCATCCATTTACCATCAGATAGACTGTGTGTTCGTTTGTCACCCTTATTCTATTAAAAAAAACTCGACACTTATTCTTAGTATCGCAATGTTTAGTGGTGAAAGACTATCATCGTTAACGACTATTTAAAAAAAGTCTCCTATTGAATTTAAGGGCTATTGTACACTTTGAAACTGCAAATCATCTTCAAACAAACCTTTTATTTCCTAAACGTTTGTTTGCAGTTTACCGTTCCTCTAGCTAGCGCCTGTTTCTTAATGATCTTTTGACGAACGAACCGACGAACTTTTACAACCTAGAATGTACTAAGTATTTTTAGTTCATTCAGTAAAGTAGTTACCTTGGAGTTTAGTGTTTATATCGGCAACAAGGTTTCAGTACGATTTACTTAGCATTTATTCATTTATTTACAAACATCATTGTAAATAAATTTTATAACGAACCAAATACAACTGCTGTATACCGAGGATTCAAAGGTTATAATTCGTTTCTACAAAATGGTTAGTTCCATTTAATCGCAACTTATATAACGTAGGTAACAATGCGTTGATTTAACTGCATAAAAAGAAAAATCTGACACACATATGTACGTACACCTGTTTCCAGTCACAGTGGTGGTTAGTTAAACTTCAAAACAAACGTAAGAATGTCGCAGAAGTGAAAATAGCTTTCCTATTTTTGACTACAGTATTATGAGACTGGTGTGTATTTTTTATATTTTTGTGGAGCTAATTAAAACTAATTTTGTTGAACTATTATTTTATATTATAGGTTTTAAATTATTTTAGATAGATATTTTTAAAACTTCTTACTTAATGCAACACATATACATATGTGCATAAAACACGTTTTATTTGAAGTGACCAATGAATTCACAATCCAAGTGATGGCATAAGGCTCCTGCAGCCTCTGGACACCCGCAACCAACTTCAAACAAAGAAGGCGTCTGATGCGTTGTCACCTCTATAGACAAATATAAAAAGCCTCACGCATGTAAATGTACTGGTTCTTTATAGCCTTCAGACCAGAACCGAGCTAGGAAAGAGAGTGAGTCCTACCGAGAAGGATTCTAGGCAGAAAAAAGTCCTACGACCTAGTAAAAAAATTGTTTTATCATTATTTTTCACGAGGAAATATTGTGTTGTAAAAAAATATATTGTTTTTATCTCCTTCGTTTTTGTCACCTCGTAACAATTCTCTGGGCGTGGTATAGGTAATTCATAGTGAAAAATATTACCGCGCTACGCATGTGGATTAACGGTCATCAGATGCCCAGGGTGTTTTATATTTAGTTCATTATCGTCATCATTACAGCCCTTCACAAGCCCACTGCTGAACATAGGCCTCCCCCAAGGAATGCCACAAAGCACGGTCATGAGCCACCTGTATCCATCGACTTCCTGCCTGTCTCACCAGGTCGTCACTCCATCTAGTGGGGGTCACCCTACTCTATACCTACCGGTACGAGGCTGCCACTCTAGAACCTTTTTCCCCATCGGTTGTCGGTTCTTCGAGTTATACGGCCAGCCCATTGCCACTTCAGCTATGTCGGTCACTCTGATTCTATTGCGCATATCCTCATATCTAAGTTTATCACACAGAAAAACCCCGAGCATAGCCCTCTCCATAATCCACTGAGCGACCTTGAGCGTCCTAATACGGCAGCGAAGGATAAAAAAAAAAAAAAAAAAAATGTATATATAAATAATTGTACCGTTTCTTTATCGGTCATATGGTGTTTCCGACTTTTCCATAACCAATATCAATATCTCAATATGAGATATATAATAACTAAACTCAATGTGAGGTTATGAGTTATAACAGCATCACAGAGTTACTTAACAATACCTAATGATGCAATTTCTTTTCCAGATATTTAGTACCTTTGCATTGTGTTTTGTACTAAAATGTAGCCACTCGCAATTTGACTTTGGTGATTATTACAAACAACAGCCATCAAATATTGGATATCAAACTTACCCTGGAAGCAATTACTTTAGCAATGCGAATATGTTTCCTTTTTTGTTCAATAATTACAACTTACAAGCATGCGACTGTGCCTGCAATAGATGCAACAATCCTCAACCGTGCTGCATCCAATTCTGTACGAAGTGTGAACAAGAAAACGAACAGTCTAGTTTTTTGTTTTACCCGTATCCGTATGTTATTTTTGCTAACATCACGAACAAACCTACAGAAGCTGCTATAAAAACAGAAGCTACTGCTACAACAAAAGCTACTACAACAACAGAAGCTACTACAACAACAGAAGCTGCTACAACAACAGAAGCTACTACAACAACAGAAGCAACGACAACTACGACTGTGGAGACTACTACGATTCACCAGGCAATGACTACGGTATTAACAGAAAACGTAACTTTCGCATTGGATTCAGAGGAAATTCGTAATTATTTTATGAACAATCACAAACCAATTTTGAAACAGGACCCTAGTAACTACATGCTTACAGCACTAAGGCGTACCAAGCCAAGATGGATGCCGAAATACGGTATAGTGCCAATTCCTGATCAACTTGCGGAAAATTTAATGTTACGCATTAGACAAATGAAAGTATTGCACCCGGAAAAGGATGCTATGAGGAAAATAGAAAATCTAAGATATCCTTACTCAAAATAATAGTAAAATAAACATCAATATAATAAATATATTCAAATAGGTATAAATATCCATTTAATCAATATTATATGTCATATATATTATATACATAACCCAAAGATGGTAAAACTTACAATGCGTACATCCGCTCAATAAAATAAAATGATGCGTCTTATCTAGGAAGTATGAAGCCTCAATTGCATGCACTATCCCCGTCACCACCAACGCCAGCACCACTACTCCCTACACCACACACTAGGAAAGACACACCACCGACGACAATACGACATTTGTTTTTTTTTTTAATTACTTTGTTGTGTATATTTTTATTTTTTATTTTTTGTAATGTTTTATTGTAATGTTTATTTATTTTTTTCTTTTTTTTTCTTTCCACGTTAGAATGTTAATATACACGTAAGTCAAGTGTTATAAATTATATGATTTCTACATGTTTTCACACTTTTTAATAAAGCAATCTAACTATTACGGCTTTACAAATTTTGATAAAAATAAAAATTGTGCATTACAAATTATTGTTTGATTTAATAAGATTGATGTGTAAAGAAAACGTAATTAATTAGGTGTTTCCAAAAAAGTCAAGATACGAGCAGTCAGGTCATCTGATGGTAAGTTTTATACGTGGTAAAGCCATGCTGCAGCTTTATTACAGTTTTACTCTTACGCAGGAAAGCATACCACATTTTGATTCTTAATCGAGGATAGATTTAAATTTTTGTGGGCCATATAATTCACTTACCATCTGGTGGACTGTATGCTTCTTTGTCACCCGTATTATATGAAAAGTGGTCCATGGACACCTGCAACTACCTTCAAACAAAAAAGCCTAATGTATTACAACCTGCAATAACATATTGTTGGCGACATAAAAACAAAAGAGTTTCTCTATTTAGTAAATACCAAGTTACAAAGTTCTCGAACAAAATCCAAAGAAAATTTGACAAAAACAAAAAAATAAAAAAAAAAAAAAAAAAAAACCCAAAAACCCCCCCCCCCCCTTAAAAAAAACAAAGGGGGAAAAAAAAAAAAAAAAAAAACAATAATCGTCCGTTCACTTTTTCCACTTCTTCTTCTTTGTCAACTTCTTTAATCAGTAAAATTGCACTGGTGGACGTAGGTCTCACCTTTGATAGGTCTTGCCTTAATGCTCACACAAGTCGGGCGGATTGATAAACGCAGTACTAGACGTCCCTCACGTTTACGATAATGCGCATCGTAGGTCCTCGTATTTTGCGTCCGGCTTAAACGTGATGATTATATCGCCATTTACCGGAAGACATAATTTATATTGCAGTTCTCATAGTCACATTTAACTATTTACGAAGTCTACACGTTGAAATAATACTAGTTTATTACGGAATTTATCGCGTATATTTAACTTTGTATATACCCGACGTTTCGAACGCTTTACAGCACTCATGATCACGGGCGGGACTTCCGTACGGGGGAATTCCGTAAAAACTAGTATTATTTCAATATTTACGAAGTGTTTCAATTCAAGACCGTCAGAGGGGTAATCAATAGCAAATAAACCATCTTAAATTGATATTGATCTAGAATTGAGTTAAATAAATAATAAGAAGAATCAGAAATATAGGGTTATAAATATCTTTTCTGTATTTCTTAGAAAAAAAACCAAAACACGATATTTCGAAGGCAGAAGGGAGCCTACACCACACAGCGAAATGAAAGATAATATTCTGTCCTAATACGATATTAAAAACCTGCACACTGTTCATCAGTTTATGAAATATGATAGTTATCTACTTAACTTATTAAAAAAATATTTAAAAATTACATTCATAGTAAATTTAAACACAATTTGAGTAAGGCGGCTTATCAAACTTGAATTGGACAGACAGTCCTGCAATATAGTAGTATTTAAATCACTAATTGTAAGTTGTAACTTTTAAATGATAATTATTAAAATAAACAATGAATGACACACGATACTAACTGTATTTTTAGCTTTCTATTACTTTCCCAATTACTGTACCATTATTATAACAACACGCATTGGGGCACCGCGGCGGACACCTCCTTGCCCTAAAACCCTCTCAGAAATGAGCGGAGGCCTGTGCCCAGCAGTGGGACGTATATAGGCTGTAACTTTACTTTTTTTACTTTTATTATAACAAACCTCAACAGTCAAATAGATGTCATACAGCAGTAAATAATATGTTCACCGAGTACAGTTTTATAAAGGTATTCGTTTTTGTGAATTTTAGACACAACAAACAGCAGACTAGTTTACTTTAGCTATTTACATAATGTCGTATACTATTTTGCCATGAGGACTGACACTGAAATAGTTTTACAGAAGAGGGCCATAAGAGCAATATATGACTTAAAACCTAGAGTCGCTCAGACAAAAATTTAAGGTAATTAATAAATTAACTTTGGCATCTCAATGCATTCATGAAAATGTAATGTATGTTTGTGTATAAAAATAAAAGTAGTTTTATAAATATAAGTGATATTCATTCTGTAAATACTAGGAACAGACACGAGCTAGTAGTACCAATTACTCGACTCCACCGAGTCAGTAATCCATTCTTGGGGATGTATGTACTATACGCTTTTACAACAAAATCCCACAAGATATACAAAATTTGACTTTCCCAAAATTCAAAAACTTTATTATACAAAGTTTATCTATAAAGGTTTATTATAATATTAAGAAATTCATGGATGATAATAACCCCTGCGAATGAGGTTATCACTACGAATCTATTTCTAATTTGTTTTGTGTTGTAAATTGTGTAACATATGATTTCTTTTTAAATATCCCGCTGGATTTCTTACTGGTTATTTCCAGGAAAGAGGTTTTTTACAAAGAAGTGATATATAAAACAAAAGAGTGACTTTCAATAAGTATTAATAATAATCTATATTAAATAAAACAGTTTTCTGTTTTAAAATCGGAATTACTGCTCGAAAAAAATAATGCAATAATTTGTAACCGCAGAAAGTAAAAATCTATAAATGTATAAATGTGAAATAGGGGCCTTTATGTACAAATCGATATAAAATACTAATTTATATAAAAACACCTTGTAAATAATTGTAATATTACTGTGCCGAATTCAAGTAATACTGGATAATAACGGTGTAGTCACATTTCCTTAATTATCTTACCTAAATGATAAGAAAAAATAGTTCAAATCAAAACCAAACACTATCAAATCACTGATCACAGAGCATTAGCACATAGCTTCGGTATTAAATGATAAAATCCAGGAATCGATTAACGATTGTCCGTGACCGCGGAACCGATTATGGTGTTAATCTATGATTGGTTTATCATAAATTATCGCGCGAACAATGGGCCGCGACATGTCGGGCGAGATTTGACCTTTCAGAACGCGGTGCGACTGCGGCTGAGTTGCGCGGGGTCACCAAAGATGTATTTTTAGAGTTGAAAGTTCGAAATACGACGGTTACATACGTTGAGATCGCCGGGCGGCGTGCGTAGCGTTTCCGGCGTTGTTTTTTATTTCCGAATTTTATTGCCATTTAACTAATGAACTAACACACACTAAATATTTATCTGAAATATTATCATTTTAGAACCAAGTAAGAGTAGAGGAAAGTAAGGTATTTGTTATGACTTGGCGACTACATGACTTTACTACTTAATTACTTTAAAATTTTGTTTATATTGCTTTTTCTATTTACGTTGAATTGAAAACAAATGCGATATAAATATCAAAAATAATAATGAGTGTTTTTACGGTTAGGTATCTTAAAAGAAAAAAACTGACCAAGTGCGTGTCAGACCACGCACAATGTAGAACCCACTTGGCTGGCCCGGGGTGCAGCGCTGGCCCGAGAAGGCCACTCCGAGTGGGCTTAGTGAGCCCTCTTCGGATGTATGTTGGTGGACTGCGGCGAGAGGGGTACACTCTCCCCCTACTACTGAAGTCGAGGTGGAGTCACGCAGGAAGAGGAGTGCTACGCGCCACTCGCCCCATCCTATACGACTCCGACGGGGCCGCACCGTTAATAGATGTGGTGGTAGTGGAGCTGCGGGGGCAGAGCAGTGTCGGTACTGCGAGGCGCCACTCTCCCTACCTTCCGCAGCTGAATCCTGGCTGGCGGCGGAGCCATAGACCAGATCCGCTGCTGAGGTCAGGAACTCTAGTGCTTCTGAGTGCTCGTTTTACCTGGCCATGGGCCTTCGCGCATCGGACACAAGGACGTCTGTTGCGCACTTGAAGTTAGAGGCCGCGGAGGAGGGAGCGCCATGGAGAATGGGGAGGAGTAGTCCTCTCCCGAGGAGTGGCTGTTATGTGCAGCCAGCGCTGGAGGGGCCGCGGATGTGTGCGAAAGCTTTCCCGTGGCCCTGCCAATATGCGAAAAGGTGGAACACCATGGGGTTTTAGTTGGTGCAAGTCCAACATAACCCATCCTTGTCCCCGCGAGGCTGGTATGCGTAGACATTTTCCCATGTAAAAAAGGGTTCAGTAGTTATCCTACAACTAGTTTATACTACTTTAACTATAAATACCCGACATTTCAAGCGCTTTACAGCACCCATGGTCACGGGGGGGATTGAGATGTTCAACGTCCAAATGTCATAGTTAACAGCGGTTACCATAGATAAAAATTTAACTTTTGTCCGATCTACACAGTATGAACTTGTGGTATCTTGAAGTCTTGCAGTTGTATGCTTGTGTTGGGATTTAATTTTATTTATTATAGGATCCCAAGCAGATTGTAGCACCCAGCCATCTTCTCTATTGAAATTAGGATGTTTTTTGATTTCAATAGCCTCGCGAATCATCCTTGGAAGGAATCGGTGTTCTTTAGCGAGGATTTGTGGTCTATCAAATCTGATGTAGTGACGGGGGCGATCCTGTACGTGTTCACAGACTGAACTTGACACATGACATGACATGAACTTAGCGTTATAGCTGATGTGAAGGATCGACGCTCCGGGAAGTCTGCAGTCTGTGAACACGTACAGGATCGCCCCCGTCACTACATCATTCTCATTGCCC